AGAATATTTAAATCTAAAAGGTCCTAAAGCATAATTACATGTGAACAAATCGTTTTTATTCCAAAGCATAAGATCTTATTTTCAAATGGTTTTAAATTTTAAGCAACTTGGAGCCCTAAAGATGTATAATTGTCCCCTGCCCTATTTTTACAATATACAAGAATTGTGAGGGATTCAGCATCTCGTGTTGACAATGCTCAGTTTTACCACATTCTTTTAATGTTTGTTTTGACTTTTTCAACACTTTCTTCCTTCACTCAATGTTAGAAATGTCAGTCAGACGTGAAAAACTGGCTGCTGAGGTGTCATGTCCACTAACTAACTCACATTACATCACCTCATTGATTTTAAGGATTTTTCTGTACAGACTAAAGTTTTAAATCAATGTTTTTCCACATTATCTGTAGAGATTACAGAAAACTGCACAGACCATGAGGTGTGAAATGGTTGCACTTCAACTTTAAGTAATCTTTTATGTGATTGTGTTCGACCCACAGTTTGGAAAAGATTGATTTTTAAAAAGAAAAAAACATACAAATAGGTTCACAGCCTAATGAAATTTTTAAAGATGCTGCTCATTTTATCACTCCATTAAAAGATTCAACAGTTCTTTGAATAATATTGCTTTAGTCGTGGGCTTTTCAAACTGATAATAAATTAGGGATTATCAGAGTTATAACTGGTTATGATAGCATGTTGGATGGATGGGTTACGTTTTAAGATCACCACTCCCGTGATAAATCTGTGACACACATGTTTAGGAACATAACATAATATCTCCCCCTCTCCCCTTTACTCATTGAGATTAGAAAAACATAATTTAGTTTACATAGATGGGCACTGACAAAATAAAAGCATCATATGAGCATCATATCTCTAAGATAGATTTTTATAAAACACTGCATCTCCTTTCACTGCTACGCTGATGATTGCCAAGTCTATTTGCCTTTAAGGTGAGTTGTCCATTAAATCTCTTTTATTGTGTCTCGAGGATCTTAAAGCTTGGATGGCCCTAAACTTCCTGCATTTTAATAAAAAACAGACTGAGGAACTTGTTTTTGGACCCAGTGGAGCATGCCTGAACCTTCCTGGCAATGTACATTAAGTCCACAGTTACAAAACTTGGTTTTAAGATGTACAGTGATTTTAAACTTGACAGTCAAATAAGGGTCACAGTCAAGTCTAGTTTTTATCGTTTGAGAAAATTAGCAAAGGTAAAATCTATTCTTCCAAGCAACAGTTTGAAACAGTAATCCATGCTTTCATTTCATCACGGCTGGATTACTGTAATTCTCTCTATCTCGGAGTCAGCCAGTCCACACTTACACATCTGCAGCTGCTGCAAAATGCTGCTGCATGTCTTTTAACTGGAACACAAGAAAGAGAGCACATCACGCCTGTCCTGGCTTCTCTCCACTGGCTGTCCATGTATTTTAGAGTTCATTTTAAAATTATTTTGTTTGTTTTTAAGGATTTAACCAGCCTTGCTCCACCTTATTTAACAGAGCTTCTCCACCACTACACTCCACCTCGGTCACTCAGGTCTGCTTCTGGTCATTCCCAAGAGGAAGCTCAGAGGAGACTGGGCCTTCTCTGTTAGTGCCCCGAAGTTATGGAACGCTCTGCCTTTGCACATCCGACAGGCCCATTCAATGTCCATGTTTAAAAGCCGTCTGAAAACGTATCTCTACTCATTGGCCTTCAGCCCAACTGAGACCAGAGCTTACTTAATAATTTTTATTGGTATCGATTTTATCTGTTTAACTTGTCATTTTATTGTGTTTTGAATTGAGTTTTACTTCATTGTGTGCCTGGCTTTGTCACTTTATTTTTATGCCTTTTTGTATCTTATTTATTACTGATGTTCAGCACTTAGTTTCAGCTGTGGCTGGTGTTAAATTAAGTGTTGTCGTAGCTCATCATCCTGTTTTCATTAAAGAGTTGTTAGATGCTGATAGATGCGGGCAAGAAGGATCTCCTGCAGCAAATCCAAATAATCTGGCCAGATACCGATCTGTCCACCCGAATCCAGCTTGTTGTCAGACCCAGCGGGCCTCTCTGTCCTCCTGGGCAGCAGGACTGCCCCAGTGCCGGGCAGAATTCCTCCCTGAACGATGATCACTCCTCCCAGTAGTCAGCCGAGCTCCTCGTCACCACAGACAGACAGCTGAAAGTGCCGGGGGATGATCCTGGTCCTCCCGTTGTCATGAGCCGAGTTTCCCACCAGCTCCAGAATCTTGGCGGTCAAGTACTCGAGCACCGCCGCCAGGTTGATGGAAATTCGTCCACGGCGCCTCCTTTTCAACTCATTTGGGATTTGGGGCTGTAGTTGAGGTATTTGAGCTTTTGAGCTGTTAATCAGCTGCTCCTGGTTGTTAAAAAAAATGCCCAAAAGTAAAAAGGTTTCAGTAAAAATCCTTCCAGCTGCACAGAATCCGATAAGAGAAGAAATAATCATCCGAAAAAAGTGATTTACATCCAGAAAAAAAGAGGAATTAAAGTTTTCAAAAGCAATAACTCAGAATGAACGTAACAGATCAGCTCCAACACCCGCAGCAGTGCAACTCTAGAATAATAAAGCAGACTGAGGAAAACAAACTGTTCTAACTAACTTGGACACTTTACAGTATATTTTGTGACTTTCAGGTTTAAAATGTGTTTTTTGAATTCATAATTACATCAGTGAGCTGCTGGAGCCTCACATCAGTGTTCATGTGAACATCAATTTAAAAACCAAACAAGGAGAGACGTCTGTAAGTACAGTCTGGCTCTTTCTGTCATAAAGCCCTCTCAGTTGTCTCTTTCCCTTGTGACCCGGCACCACGGGCCCTGTGTGGACAAGAAGTTCTTAAAAAGACAGAAAGGTTGGGATCTGTTGCACAGTGTGATTCCCATCTGTGTGAGAAATGCTTCAGCTGTGACCCATGACCTGTTGACGGACGATTATTCGTCATCTTTACGAAGAAAAACAGAGAAGAAAGACAGAGAAGAAAGAAAGACGTCATACAGTGTTTTATAATAGAGGGTGTATCAGTCTGCGAGCACAAATTTGTCACTGCAATGAACTGAACACAATAATACAATATATATCAGAGTCCATTGAGTTCAATTCAACAGTTCAAAGATGTTTTATTGATGTTGAAACTGAAACAATACCACATTTATTTACTTATAAAAGTAAATGAAGGTGTAGAAAAGCTTGTACAAGTGTAAATATTCTGTTCATCTTTACATTGTTGCTTTTATTGTTAGTCACTTTGGCGAGCTCTGCAGCCATCATTATAGTCTTAACTTAGTCTAACTTAAATATTAGATGTGATAACCTTCACAGCTAAAAGCTTTATTAGCATTTCAGCTCAGCTGACTGACATTTATGGACACTTTAAAGAGTACCTCAAAGTCTTTGTGCAAACCAGTCTCTCTGTTGACTGACTCAGTGGTTTCAAATACCTGCACGTTTGTTTTCTGGTGTCTCCTGCTCTCTGGTGGTCACACATTGATCTGATGGTGGCAAAAAACAAACAAGCAGAGTGACTCAAAGATGTTCTCGTCAGAGACCTTGCTACTCATCATAATGTTGGGTTGAAGAATTCAAAATAAAACAGAAGCTAAATAATTTACCATCCATTTACATCCATCCATAAAGCAAGGACAGTTTGGATATTTTTTTTAGAAATAGGTCAGAACACAAGACTTGGTCAACTGGTCCCCCCCTCCCCTAACACCTGTGACCAAGGCGAGTTTTTACCTGGGCAGCACCCTGAGGTTTACAGGGCCCCAAAATAGAAATGTAATATTAATGTTTTTTAATATAGGATTCCAAATAATGTAATAATAATAATATTCCAAACATTTTATATTATTTATTTTTCACAAGGAGCAAGTGCACGTCCCTGGAAAGAGATCAGACTACTCAATGGTCTCGGATGAATTTTTGGTGGCTTTTAACTTAGTTTGCTTAAGATGTTGTAGCTTAAAGTTAATACAGACAGAGCCATGCATTATTCACAGGAGCCATAAGGTGTTGAAGAAAATCTGTTTGCTCTGTAGAAAACTCATGCAGCTTTGCTGTTTTCTGCAATAATTTTATGTCTTTATTTATTTTGCAATCATACACTGTGTGGTCCATGCAATACCATTCATGGATGTAAACTACATTAAACAACTTATTATGTTTCATAAAACCAGACAGTGTCTCAGATTTGAGATTCTTTTCAAAACCAAAACTCTGTAGTTGCAACTTGTTTTGTGTAATCTCAAGACATTAAGCTTAAGTGTTCAAAGTAATGTATTCTGTTTTTTAAAAAGATTGTCACATTGTTTCCCATTATTTAATTTGCCAATACACTGTATCGTTTATCTCTCGTTGCTGTGACACGTCAAAATCATTTAGTTCATGAAGAAAAACATTGTTCTTGAGTAGAAACATATGGAAACAGTTCAAATCCACTTCTGGTCTGTGCAGCAGTGGCTAATTAAAAAAAGTAAAACTGACGGAGCAGACTTTCTCTTTGTTTCAGATGGTGGGTCTGTAATTTATTTAAATATTGCATTAAAGTTCAGAGTGGCTCTGACGAGTCTGACTAGAAACCTTGACATTAATGTTCACATAGTATAATAATTTTTGCATGTTATGTCATTTAGGCACCAAAGGTGGCTTTAGCCCAGGGGCCAAGACTTTCTTTAATCAAACCTGTAACAGCTGAAACACCTTGCTTCTCAAGGTTAGATATTAAGTCATTTTCATAGAGAATTATAATCCTTTTCGTGGAGACAAATACTACATAAACGCAGTTACTTACATGAAACTTTTCTGTCAATCATTTTTTTTAGGATTGTGTAGTAAAAGAAAACTGATGGTGCGTTCTAGGTATCCTCGAAGGTCGGAAATTCTGGCTTCCATGCATTTCAACTGAAACGCACTGCTTTTAGAGGAGAGCTTTTTTTTTTTCTTGCTACTGTCTCTTTAAATTTCTGCTCTTCGTGTCTGTAACGGTGACGTGTCCCTCCTCTTTTTCCCCCGGCTCCTCAGTCAGTTTCACTCCGATCCGATTTTCACTTTAAAATAAGCTTTAAGTCGGGACACCATGGGCAGTGAGTATTACTTTTCCATCCCATCTGTACAAAACGGGTACATGAAGTCTCTGGAAAAAAAGAGGAACTTGTTGTTTAGTCTGTTTTCGTGAACTTAGTTAGCTTGCTGTTTCACAGCGCTGACTTTTAGTGTAGGCAGCTAGCTCACGATGCTAACTAGCGTGTTGTTGTTGCTGTTTCGTGCTGTAATCGATTATTTCTGACCAGAAATAGTTAGTGAAATAAACGTGTATCGTGGCATATGTTTTTACGCACTGAATTTATTTGGCTTATCTCAGTTTTAGAGGCACTTCTGTAGACCGAGTTCGCTGAAGCCCGTGTGAGCTAACTTGTTAGCCACTCATTCAAAGACATAGTGATGACGACGCATAAGCCTGCGGGGTGTTCTGTTGGTTCTGCTGCTTGTAAATGTGCCGAATACTACGACAAACATGGAACAAGCAATACCTGAAACACAAAAAAACATGACAAGTAATCAATGATTGTATTTAGTTTGTAGTAAAACTGTATTATCTGTCTTGAACCCGCCCCCTGTTACTGCCACGTCCTGTTCATCAGTGATGGTTATTTTTGCTGTATTTATAGTAAAACAAATGTTTTTGCGTCCTGTTTGCTTTTTACAGTCAAATTCTTGGAGGTGATAAAGCCATTCTGCGCAGTGCTGCCAGAGATCCAAAAACCTGAGAGAAAGGTGTGATTTTTGTGTTTATTGTTTTAATTTTGATTTCATTTACACACTTTTGTATGAGTCTTATTTGTTTTTATTGTTGTAAAGCCGTTTTAACCTATTCGAAATGATTACATAAATTTAATGACATTTATTGTTATTATTATTATTATTATTATTAACATTTATGTTGATTTGCCTCTTGTTTTAACTTCTGATAATGTCTTTGACCAACAGATCCAGTTCAGAGAAAAGGTATTATGGACTGCAATTACACTCTTCATCTTTCTGGTGTGTTGCCAGGTAAGTGTCGTCTATATTTACATTATTTGTTATCTTAAAACCCACTCTAAATAACTAACCTAAATGGCAATACTAATGTAATAATTCCAGTATTAAACACAATAGAAAGACCTGCTTCATTATAATAGTTTTTATTTATTATTAAATATCCAACTACTTATTAGTATGTGGTTTTACATTTTTGTGTATTTGCTCCAGTATTAAATAGTTTGCATCTGACGAGATGATCCTGTTTATTTAAAAATAAAATCACATCTGTGTTTCATATTAGTGTGTATCCTCAAATGTTTGTGTCTGTGCATCCACCACTTCTGATATCTGCATTTAGTCTGATTTTTGTATCTTTAGTGCCCCTACTGTACCTGAGCCAGGAAAACAATTTGTATTTGACTGCACTTCTTCCACCTCTGCGTGTATTTTATTCTGCTCTTCAGAAAAGGAAACTTTGCCATAAATGTGTCTAAATGTGTCTATCAGCAACATACTTGAGAAAATCAGTTCATTATGACGTGCTTTTAAAACGGGAAGTAATGGTTTCTATTTGAAAAGATGTAGTTAGAGATTAAAACAAACCTAATTTATTATGACTTTACAAGCCAATTTATTACTTTTGTCTACCTGCAGTGAGGTTAACACCTTGCCTATAGATGTTGTCTTTCACAAGAAAGTGATATTCATGTTATCATTAACTTCAAGGTATAAAATGAGCTGAAAATTGTAAATTAGATTTTTGGAAATAATTATTTTTAACATTTACTTTCTTAAATAAAATTAAGACTGAATTCTGCTCCTCTAGATTCCTCTTTTTGGCATCATGTCCTCAGACTCTGCAGATCCATTCTACTGGATGAGAGTCATTCTGGCCTCAAACAGAGGTAGGCCTGTAATAAATGTAAGACAAAATGCAAGTGTTGGGTCTTCAACAGGACTTAACAGGAGTATGTCCCTCCAGGTACTCTGATGGAGCTGGGGATCTCACCTATTGTCACTTCAGGCTTGATCATGCAGCTGCTTGCAGGAGCGAAGATCATTGAAGTAGGAGACACCCCAAAGGACAGAGCCCTTTTTAATGGAGCTCAGAAATGTAAGAAACTCAAATCAGCTTGTGCGTTTTAAAACATCTTCATAGTGTACAGTTTGTTTCTGTAACCTTTTTTTTTACGTTTTCAGTGTTTGGGATGATCATCACCATTGGCCAGGCTATCGTGTATGTGATGACCGGCATGTACGGAGACCCGTCAGAGATGGGTGCAGGGATCTGTCTGCTCATCATCATCCAGGTGAAAATACAGCTTATTCACATTATTGTGTATTTTAAAAGAGTAACAATACAATCACAATGTGTAATAGACTTTGAGTGCAAGCTATTACTGACATGGATACAACTAATACTGGTAGCTAATATTCAAATTTAATTCAATATATTTTTTTAATGATTACGATTTGCTATAGTTTGAGTCAGTAAGAAGGTCACTGACAAATACAATGTGCTTAAGTTAAATTATAATGCACTTAAAATCCCATACATGTTAAACTACTAAATGAAGGGTCCAAATGATTACATGAATTAAGAACCAAGATTCGCTAAAGATATGGTGTTAATAGTGTAAATGTTTTCTTGTGTGGGATTCTTTTCTTCCTGACTGGCTTGTTTGTGTTGCTCTGTAGCTGTTTGTGGCTGGAATGATCGTGCTGCTGCTGGATGAGCTGCTTCAAAAGGGCTATGGTCTCGGTTCTGGGATCTCGCTGTTCATTGCCACCAACATTTGTGAGACCATCGTCTGGAAGGCCTTCAGTCCCACAACTGTGAACACTGGAAGAGGTAAGAGGGCCACAAACTAGTTTAGCATTTTTATATATAATAGTTTGATTTGTAAAGGAAAAAACATGCCTTGTTGCTTTTCATCAGTCATCAGAAATGTTTGTTCCTTCTGTCTTTTAGGCACCGAATTTGAGGGAGCAGTTATTGCGCTTTTCCACCTGCTCGCCACAAGAACTGACAAAGTGCGTGCTCTAAGAGAGGCCTTCTACAGACAGAACCTGCCCAACCTCATGAACCTCATTGCCACTATTTTTGTTTTTGCTGTAGTGATATATTTTCAGGTGAGTTGTAGTACTTTCGTGTTTGAAACTTTCAGGCTTTAAACAGGAATTGGTCATCTGAAACGTCATGTCTTCTTGCAGGGATTCAGGGTGGACCTGCCCATCAAATCCGCTCGCTACCGTGGCCAGTACAACACCTATCCTATCAAGCTGTTCTACACCTCCAACATTCCCATCATCCTTCAGTCTGCTTTGGTCTCCAACTTGTATGTCATCTCCCAGATGCTTTCCACACGCTTCAGTGGCAATTTCCTGGTTAATCTGCTTGGAACGTGGTCTGTAAGTACGATAATTTACCTTTTTATATGTAGATAAATGACTTTTTAATTATAATGGTTATATTGAATAGTAGAAACTGAGGGGTTTAAATCTGATTTGTTCTATATAGGCCTGTTGCGATAAATCAATTAATCGCATGATAAATGAAAATTATCGACCTCATTTTCATTTATCGGCTTTATCGTTTCTTCGTGTTTCTCTCTTTCTGAAGACACTGGATGACAAAAAGTTCAACTCCAGTGCTCTTCCCTTTCTCTTTTCTCTTTAAAATCCATTTTAACCGTCCAAAATCGCATTTTTGGATCATTAAAAGCAGCTAAGCTGAGGAGCTAAGCTAACAGGCCGACCTCGGGGGGACCTCTGTCTTGTCAAAGCTCCAAAATTCACGGTTGAAACCCGTGCCTTCGTGTAAAAAGTTTTTCTCTGCAAAAAGAAGCTGAGAACTGGTCTACTGATTTTTTTTTTTTTTTTTTTTTTAAAGCTTTGTGTGAAAAATGCTATGCTAAAGAGCTCAAACCCACACCGAGCGTCCGCCATTTTGAGAACCGAAGAGAAACAGCCCATGTCACATCAAGGTGCCTCCCGCCCATTTTTCTTAGAAACGCTGCTCACTCCCTCACTATCATCCTTCGGTTCCAACCATCTTATACTGCCATCTGGTGGTTGAAAAAAGATACTACATGCAAAACAAATTAAACGTTTCTTCTTAAATTTGACAATAATTACTAATTATTTTCAAATTTCAAACAATATCGTTTATCACAATAATTTCTGAGACAATTAATGGCCCAGCAACATTTATTGTGACAGGCCTAGTTCTGTAGCCTGTGTTCAGTCAACTAAAGGTGTGTAGAAATATTGAGAGGAAAGGGAGAAAACATTTTGAAGGGTGAAATTGATTCTGTAGGCCATGGCTCCAGAAAGTGCTGCTTTTATGTATTTTTGATCGTGAAGCTTTTTTTTTAATATATAAAAAAGTGTCTCTTTCTGATTATAGGAAGCAACATCTGGTGGCCCAGCCCGTGCCTATCCTGTTGCGGGTCTCTGCTACTACCTCTCTCCACCTGAGTCTTTTGGCTCTGTTCTAGAGGACCCGGTTCATGCACTCATCTACATATTCTTCATGCTTGGCTCGTGTGCCTTTTTCTCCAAAACATGGATTGAAGTCTCTGGCTCTTCTGCAAAAGATGTAGGTCCTTACTGCCGTCTTTCAGGAGGTAATGGGTTAGTTTTCAAAGCGACTTTGTGTCACGACTCTGCTCTTCACTGTCACTCAGGTGGCGAAGCAGCTGAAGGAGCAGCAGATGGTGATGAGGGGACACAGAGAGACTTCAATGGTTCATGAACTGAACAGGTAAGATAAAACGTCTGGACTCTCAGAAGTGTGTTTCTGGTATTTATTTATATTTAAGAGTTTAAAATTTTAGCAAAACAAATCGGATGTTAGTATGATGTCACAGCTTTGATTAGATTTAATTTATTTTTTGTTAGACTGCTCATCTTATCACAGCTTAGCATTTAACCTGAGGTGTCTGAATGTCTTGTAGGTACATTCCTACAGCTGCAGCCTTTGGCGGACTGTGTATCGGTGGTTTATCAGTGATGGCAGACTTCCTCGGAGCTATCGGTTCTGGTACCGGTATTCTGCTGGCTGTCACTATTATCTATCAGTACTTTGAAATTTTTGTCAAAGAACAGAGTGAAGTGGGCAGCATGGGGGCCATGTTCTTTTAAAGAAGCCATGGTGTTTTTTTCACCTTCTATCAACTTTTATCAAGCTCACAAACAGTTTTTTTTTTTTTTTTTTTTTTTACAACAAAGAGAAGCTCTTGCACTATCATCGTTGCAGTTTAAAGACATTTGAGGAACTTTTAGGAAACTTGGCTGAAATGTGATGCTGTGAGGTCGAGGAACATGTTGACTTCACAACATTTCCTCACGTCCTCTCAAACTCCATAGTGATGCAGATACCACCGTTTCAGTTGGACTTTATCTACTTTTTTTTTGTTTGTTTTGTTTTTATCCTGACTCCAGATACAGCTCCACAAGATTGCCTAAAAGGTTTCTGGCTGGATATTTTTCCCTTTCAGATTTGACATCTGAGAGTTTCATTATGCAGGTATAATTGTTTCAGGTGATAGCCGTCATCTACCTGTGGTGTGCTTCGTGTTGTCTTAGGTTATACTTTTACTGTTCGCCTTGTTTGTTTGTTTACCTGCCAGTCAGGTTAAGGTTTAGATCAGAAGGCAAACTGTCGGAACCACAACAGAACTACAGGACCAGACTGTCCAGGACTGTAAATGTTCCTTATTGTGACCCTGCATTAAAGGTCCTGCAAAATGAGACAGTGGAGCTCATATTGGGTTCCAGTCTCAATGAGTGGTTTGAACAAAACACAAGAAAACCATCTAAGAAACGAGAAGTTCTTGTTTAATGTATGGCGTTCCCAGGGATCTGCAGTATTAACTCGTGTCACACTTGTTTTTGTTACTCAAATCCTAAGATCCTTTTTTATGTTTTTAATTGTCTGCTATACATGTTATCACTTTCAGACAAATAATTTTTCTGTACATACGCCATATATTGAATACCTTTTTGAATTTGTCTTAAGTGTAAGATAAAGTCTTATGTTGAAAAAATGCATTTCAGAACAACCTTGTATAAAAAAAACATTCTGAATAAAGACTTGTGGAAAGAATTTCAGATTTGAGTGTTTATTGATGCTTCTTGAGCTTTTGTGAGATTAATATTCATTGGTCCTGTAGTTTATTTATTTTAATGTCTGCTGGCCAGGCTGCATTATCGAGTAAAAATGAAAACTCAGTTTGGTTAACAACTCGGGTCCGCTGATGTGAGAAATATCTGGAGGAATTTGACCCATTTTGTGTAGGTATAGTCTTCATAAAGGCTAAATACATATTTTTGGTACATTTTGTAGTGTTTGTTGGATATCGGTAGAATAAAATTTAGTAAGGCTATCAAAATGAGTTTTGTTACTTTCCAATTGGTTGCATATTTAAGTCAATATAAACTAAAGTTTATGGTGATGTATTTGAAGTTTATATCCAGAAAACCTCAAAACTTAACACAACAAAATAAGAATTTTGTTACTGCTTCAATATGTCTTGATTAGAAAAAAAAAAAAAGGCTTATTTTTGCTGTAAATTTATTTACTTTTATTAAAAAGTAATATCGGGATTAATTTATGAAAACAATTTAGAAATATAATGAACTATATTACTGTTATTTTTTGACAGCTACATTGTAGACTTGCCTACAGATAAAGCAGATGAAGTTTCCATTTCTAACCTGGGGGGGCAGCAGAGTGCCGTGCTGCGCCAACCAAAACCGGAAGTCGCAGACACGAAGAAGAAGAAGCTATCATGCTTTAGCAGAGTTAGTTGGGAAACTTCGTCCTGAACTTTAAGATAACCGTGCGCTCAGTGGCATATTTAGCGTCCTGTTAATCGGTAAACGTATTTATTTTCGGAAACAGCTGTTTTATTGTATTTAAAATATAATTTTATTTGTTACGGCGCGAAGAGATGAGCTCAGTCAGAGATGAAGGTAAGCGCCCTCAGTTAGCCGGCTGACTTTTCTGACACAAGTTGAGTTTGAATGAAATATTATTGTTGGCTTTGTTATAAAATAATCTAAACTATAAATATTGATCAACAGTGAATTAAATTATTTATAATCAGTGTCTTTATGTCTGGACTAAAAGGTTTGTGCCCGACTGTTCAACCTTGAACATCATTGAGCTGTAACATGTGAATTAAGGATGACTTCTGTCATTTAAATCATCAAAATAATTATGTTTGCATATTTATACTTTGAACCTGGTACACAACTTATAAACAATATGAATTCCCACACATAAAATCAGCTTTTGACACCATTGTTTGCTGGTAGATCCAAATAAGTGCATCATTGGTTGTCACGTTTCCTCCAAATCTGACTCCAGCTTTAACACCTTCAGGTATTAACTGAGTATATTAATTAGTCTTTATTTATGTATTTCAAATAATAAACCACCTGAAACTAAAACCAGTCTAAGTAACAGATAAAATCTGTTTAAACAATGTAACACTTGGTGGTTTTCAGATTATCTACTTGTCTTTTGACACTTAAAAGTAATTATACGGAAATAAGCTGTGTTGCCTCGGCATTTTAGTATTTTTTATAATTTTGTGTTCGTGCTCATTATAAGCAAGTGAAAAGTTTCCATTCATCCAATTATGATTTGGCCTAATTGAAGTAACGTCACGTCTTCATGTTTGAACTGTTTATGGTTTCTGATTGTCTTGTAAATATGGTTGGTAGGTAAACTCTTATGAAATTTAAGTAAAATGTTTGTTTTTTTTCTTCGTATTTCTTGTTTTACTGATTGTTTTGACAATTTCTTTGGGTTGACATCAGGTAAAGACAAAATTATATTTGTCACCAAAGAAGATCATAAAAGCCCCAGCAATGCAGAGCTTGTAGAGGAAGACCCCGACGACCCCTATGAAGAGCAAGGTGAGGAGCAACACAGCTACTCAGACAAATGTGAGCGTGAGTTGGGCTTTTAAAATGAACTTTTTTCTGCTCTTAGGTCTAATTCTTCCCAGCGGTGAGATAAACTGGAATTGCCCCTGCCTGGGTGGGATGGCCAGCGGTCCCTGTGGGACTGAATTTAAAGAAGCTTTTTCCTGCTTCCACTACAGTCAAGAGGAAGTGAAGGGCTCTGACTGCCTGGAGCAGTTCAGGGGGATGCAGGAGTGTCTGCAGCGCTACCCTGAGCTCTACCCACAAGAAGATTCATCACCGAGCCAGACCTCACAGGATTCTGCTTCTGCAGAACCATCAAGTCCAAACCAAATGCCAGGCAATAAGCAGAACCCTGACACCACACCACCAAACACAGAGACCTCAGAGGAGAGCTAATAAAGGGTTTATTCTGAGACACTCAAGACTCGTCCTTCACATTTCACATTCAGTCATCTTTTTTTATGAATCAATAGAAAAATATCTTTTTTTTACGGTGTTTCTTCTGTAGTTCTCCAGTATTAAAAGCTATAACAACTTCTGTGTATTGGTGTAAAGGTGTCTGAAATTATATGTTACTGTCGAGTGAAGAGGAAATCGGGTAAAACTAATGACACGAGCTGGTTTTTAAAACCTGAAGCCATTTGAGTGGATGCACAAAAAAGGAAGACTAAGCTGTTATCATGAAAGTAAAATACAAATTCATTTTATATTTTTTTAGTCTGACTTTTCTGCTAAACAGGATACAATTCATGTAATTCGCCGAACACAAACATCTGATCTGAGGCAGACACTGAACCTTTAAGACCGTGTCTCAGGTCCTTTACATGCAGCAGACCTCAGGTCTTAAAGGTTAAGTACTTGATTCACAAATCAGATGGTCAGGGAAAAAATAGCCATCTTGAGTGTTTAAAGTTATTTCATCTTGTTGTGCTTCAAAGCCATTTTTCAGTTCAATCCATGAGTCACAGGACCAAGCTTGCAATCGTCTCTGATTGCACAGTGTGTGCACTTTAATTTGCCTTGCTTTAAGGCAACAGGTCAGTGCCCACTCATTGATTTACAGCAACAACTGGAGGCTAAACTTGCAGTAAAATGGTTTTCTTTACATGTTTTCTGCTCTTTATGCACCAAGTCCTTTATGCTGCACAAAATGTTCCATGTTTAACTTGTCTCTGAATGCATTTGACTATTGTCACTCATCTATTTGCTGAATTCAGTGTAGAGATTTATTGTAAGAAGAAACATTTCTGAAACTATTTAGTGTATTCTTCGTCATTACGACTGTTGCCGTCTGTTCTGCATTTATTCTGCTAATTAAAAACCGAACTTGAAATATTTACCTCACCTGAACCAAACAGAAGTGTTTGTGCGCATCAACGAAATAACTGAAAATAATGTTGTGGAAAGTTTTGTAATAAAATAGATAACTTTATTGTGACATGATTGATTCATTTTATATGCTGTGATTATCCAATAAGAAAGTGTCGTTAAAAAAAATAAAGCTTCAATTTATGTTTTCAAGATTTGAAAATCACTTAAAACTGCATGCAACTACAATCTTATGGCATTCATACGCAATCTGATTTATTCGTTTTTTAAAGATTACTCTGAGCTTCTGAATTAGCATTTAAAGCCAGTTTGTCATTTTTATCTTCATGTATATGTTCTGTATGATTATAAAGAAGAGAGTAAAATCATTCATGTAAGATTCGGCTTCAACAAGATCAATATTTACCACAAATCAATAAACTAGTGAAGAAAATGTATTAAATATTCACAGAAACGCAGACGGCATCAACGATCCGTATCCTACAAGTTTCATTTGACAGGTTGTTCTACATCAATTCACTAAAGAAGACCGTCATAAACTCAGGGTCAGAGGTCAGATTTTGTCAACTGAGCGGCCTCAAACAAAGATCAATAATTACCAAACACCCTTGTGTGTCATTGGTGGATTCTTGAGAGGAAAGGTGGACAAAAAGCCAATGGGACAGGACAACAAAGAGTGATTGGCCTCAAAAGTTGACGAGTCGGCAGTTTTTCCCCACAGACGCATGTTTGCAGTAAAAAAGCTGCCATCATCAGCCTGACCTCCTGGTCTCTGCAGACAGAAACTACCCGAGAATATGTCGAATTTAATGGAGATATGCAGCGGTTTACCTCTGGATCCACTGCCACCCAGTCAGGGAAGAGATCCTAATGTGCCACATGCACCAGTTCGGACCCCAAACCTCACGGCTCAAGAGGAACGAGTGAGTAGGAACTCACATTAAATTCATTTCCTTCACTTTTAACCTCTGATATGTTGTTCTGAAGTTATTTTAGAGGCTCTTTTTGTCATCCTAAACATTTAGACTTAAAAGGAGAGCTTACTGTGTAGCTTTTTATTCTTTCCTTTATGCTGGGTGTGCTTTAGTATGGAGGAAACTCACCTGAGATACCATTACTGTATATATTAATAAACATATAATAATTGTTGCAATATAGAAGTTATGTCTGGTCTAGACACTGTTAAATCTTATTTTCTAAGATTCTGTGTCATTAAGGCGTCAGATTTAGATGCAAATTTTACATTATGTCACAATCTGTTGTGCCCTCCACTTTGTTTCATCGCCCCTGCTGGTCCTCCCCCCAAATATTGATTAGATTTGAAAGTCAACAGATGTTTACCCAAACTTGGAGCAAAGGCTGCAGTCAATAATTAAAGGAGAAACCGGAGGAGATGTAGCTTTTCCGTAAGAAGAGCGGTCTGTCTGACATTGTTTAAACACTGATTTATTTTTGCTAACCACCTGTAAATGTTTCTCCCCACCACCACCACCCCACAGCTGGCTCTAAGAAATGCCCTGAGATATTTCCCGCCCTCCCATCATGCAATGCTCGCACCTGAGTTTGCCCAGGAGCTCCGTCAGTACGGCCACATATACATGTACCGCCTGTGCCCCACGTTACGGATGAGGTGAGGAGCCCTGGCTGGACTTTAAATAGAATAATAAATAAAATATACAAATTGTGATCAACTGTAATTTTTATTTATTACAAAAATACCTAATAATTTTACACTTCGTTTTCCTCTATAAAGTTGTTTAGAATAGGGGTTCTCAAACGTTTTGGGTTCAGGGACCCCCTCATAACCCTCATGTTTATTAAATAATTTTCTTCAGTTTGTCTCTTTAATAGAAGTATTTGTGTAAAATAAATACTTAAGACCTGTTCTCTAATAGTGTTAAAACAATTTTTATGCTTTTAAACATGGGGTATTTTTCATTCAAGACACTCGTAAATAACAACATTTTTAATTTCAACTTCGAAAAATTACAGTTTTGAGAAAATTCACAACATCAAAAAAACACTTTAAAACTTTACCTATTCACTTGATGAACATAATAAATGTATCGGCCCTTCTTCAAATTATTACAGAAAACTCTTTACATCAAACTGAACAGAATCATAACAGCAGTAGTCAGACCGAGTAACAGGGCTTCATTTGTACAACGATCGATGCCGGAATGAAAATGGCGGGCGGGGGGTTCTAGGGGTCCTCCACTAGAAAATTTTGAATAAAGTAAATGCGATTTCCTGTATTTTGATTTTTTTTTTTGTCTTTCGGCTGATCCCTTCTTCAGAGGTTGCCACAGCCAACTAAGTCAGATGAAGACTTGGCAATTGTTTTTACGCCGCATGCCCTCACTGACACAACCACAGACCACCGAGCTACCACAGCCCTCTGTGTGGAGCAGAGAGATGCTATCTAGGGTGTCCGAGGGAGCAGATGATGGGGGTTAAGTGCCTTGCTCAAGGGCACAGAGTGGGACAAATGAGGGTGGAGGTGTGGGTGCTTCACCTATCCCACCCACATTTTGATAATGTCGGTACCGAGAGTTGAACCGACGATCTTACAATCACAGGCCCACCTTCTCCATCCTCTGCGCCACCACTCTCCCTGAGTGATTGCTGGACATGGGCATCGGCGACCCCCGTGACCCAAAATGGAAGAAGCAGGTAAAAGATGATGGATGGATGGAAGATCCCATTCTACAGACTATCCTCACATTTCACTTTCTTTTGAACCTGAGACCAAATTGTCTTGAGAAATGATGATTAAACCTTCAAAATAACGTTTTCTGTGACCTTGATTGACCTCACATGATCTGTTGGTGCTTGGAGTTTGTTGAGTATGACTCTCAGCTACTAACACAGCAAATGTTAGGACAATATCCATCAAACTGTTTGGGTTAAAACCTTTTTTATACTTTTTAAGATCAGTTGGCTGTGGTAGCCATCTTGCATCAAGTTCACTCCAAAAATTAATCAGCTGTAGGTGAACATCCAGCGCTCACTTCCTGCAAGTTTCATTGAAATTTGTTCAGTGTTGTCTGAGAATTTTTGCTAACACACAAACACTTTGAACACATGCACACACACAGTTAAAAACATTATTGTCTGCTCTTACCGTTTTGCTGCAGCAATGCAGATCAAACAAGTAAAATTTGCAGAAATTGCATTTGCCGCAGGACATGAACGCTGCAGTTATTTGTATCGCTTGATATTTATTTCCTTCTCCTCCCCAGAGCTTATCCTATAAATGAGTATCCCTGCCGCACACGCCAGGCAGCAGCTATGATGCTGATGATCATGAACAACCTGGACCCAGCGGTGGCTCAGGTGAACAACTAACAATGCTAAATCAGTTTATTTTGAATGTACTTGGAAAATAAATAAATTTATTTTAAAATTCTTCAAGCTTTTTATTTTTATTTTATTTCTGCAGTTTCCCCAGGAGCTTGTCACCTATGGAGGGAATGGGCAGGTGTTTAGTAACTGGGCCCAGGTAAGCCCTGCCACGTTTTCTATATAAACATACGTAGACAGAAGTTTAAGCTTTGTGTCGTGGTTGTTTATGAGTTCAGTTCCGCCTCGTGATGCACTACCTGAGTGAGATGACCGAGGAGCAAACTCTGGTCATGTACAGCGGACATCCCATGGGCCTGTTCCCCAGCTTGCCTTCCTCGCCTCGTGCCATCATCACCAACGGCATGGTAACTGCAGGACACGAGTCGGGTTCGATAAAGGCACACTAAGATGACAAGACTAAATGTTTATTTATCCATTAAGGTTGTTCCAAATTACTCCTCGAGGGATCAGTATGAGAAGATGTTCGCACTCGGTGTATCACTGTAAGTTATTTTTCTCTTTAAGGTGCTTTGAAGGTGCTCAGAAATGGACGTAGCTCTAGCGTTGTGTTTTTACAGGTACGGTCAAATGACAGCAGGGAGTTACTGCTACATCGGACCTCAGGGGATTGTTCATGGCACTTTGGTTTGCAAGAAAATAATCGGTTCTCAATATAAAACACAAATAGTGCAAGTTTTATGTTGTAAATGGTGTGTTTCCTTATGCCCCTTGGTGCAGCTGACTGTGCTGAATGCAGGCCGGAGGTACCTGGGCACCGACGACCTGAGGGGGCGAGTGTTTGTGACCTCTGGTCTGGGCGGAATGAGCGGAGCTCAGGCCAAAGCTGCGGTCATCGCTGGCTGCATTGGTGTGATCGCTGAGGTAAGCAGCTTTCTGGCTTCTCCTCACTGACGTGGCTGCAGAGGGAGCAGAGATGCTGTGGGGTTTGTGTGCAGGTGGATGAGGCTCCGCTGAGGAAGAGACATGAGCAGGGCTGGGTCATGGAGGTCACCAGCAGCTTGGAGCAATGCATTAAACGCATCAGGTAACAGAGTAGAGATGATCTGCAAGAATGCTTTCAATAACTGAGATGGTTTATGTTGTAATAACAGCACTGAATATAATAAACATTGAGGCTTCAGCTTTATATGCATATTAACTACTCGGTTCATATTTTGATTAATCAATTTTTGCACAAATAAAGTTCAAATTACATATGGAGTTGGAGTGTGCAACACTTTCTTTATTGTCTCACAGTTACAAGTTTCATTAAATACTTTAGTTTTGCGGAACATGTTTTGCCACAAAAGTAGTTTAATTACTTAATAAATAAACACGACGATGAAAACACTCACAGTTGATGGTCTGATAGAAAAGACCAAACTGTGAGGCTGTGAGAGTTATTATATTTGTGAGACTGGATCGAGTCGAACCAGGCAATGGTTTCTAAACATCTCTGCAGCATTTAAAGGGTTAAAAAGCACATCATATCACAGTAATTGATCTGTTTACGACTACTGCACATGCGTAAAATCCGGCACCACGCCCCCAAATTGTTTCGTAGCTATTTCTGGTCGGCATTAATCTCTGTTGTTTTTGTCCTTTACATCTGCTCTTTTTATTGACTGTTTAATACAAAGATATTTGTAAAATAGTTTTATTGGTATTTTACGTTGTGGTAGTGACATGTAACGTTCCCGGGTGTTGGAGTGGCTGCAGAGCACGGCTAAAACAGAGTTCGATGTATTTAAGCAACACGATGGATCAGTGGTTAGCACTGCTGCCTCACAGCAAGAAGGTCTTGGGGTCAATCCGAGAAAACGTAGCAAAATAGTGACTGAGCTTGCGCATTAGTAACAGTAAAAAGGTCAATGATCAAGAGCTCCGATAGAATATATTGTTAAATAAAATGTGAATTATCACTTGTGAGGAAGTTTCTATTATTGTATGAGAGCACGATTCCAAAAAATGTGTTGAGCAAACCAGTTACCAAAGATTGAATTATTAATACCAAGCCTTTTGTCGTGCATGATGGTGGCAGCATCATGCCGTGTGAATGTTTTGCTGCAACAGAAATGAAGCGGATAGACAATTCCGAGAGAAAACTGCACCAGTCTTTATTAAAACAGAAGTCAGGAAAACTGAGAAAAGTTTTGCACTTAGCTACCCTGAGATTTAACCCGAGCACAGGATTTTATCTCCAGACTGCTGTAAAATGCTGAAACACCTTCAAGGTAGAAAACATGACGTTTGTAAAAGTATTCCTAACTAAACCATGCCACTGTCAGTGGTGCTGAAAGGTACTTTAACCAGGCTCCATGTGACTGATAAAGTTTTTACTTTTAATAAATGATCAAAAACTCCCAAACCCCTTTCTGCTTGGTTGTATTAGAAACTGTATGTATTTTAGTTTTGAGGAAAAGTACATTTCATGACGAGTATGGATATTTGTCTCATTATCTTAGAGAACTGAAAAGCACCAAGACTCCTCTCAGTTTGGGTTACCATGGCAACGTTGTAGACTTATGGTGAGTTTTTCCCAGACCTGAGCCAGGCCTGCTCTCTGAGAGTCAGGTGTTGTTCCGTGCTGTAGTTACGACGACTCCTCTCTGATCAGGGAAGGGCTCCTGCAGGAGTTCGACAACACAGGAGAACTCCTGGTGGATCTGGGCTCAGACCAGACGTCGCTGCACAACCCCTTTAACGGGGGCTACTACCCAGTCCCGCTCAGCTTCCACGAGGCCAACCAGCTCATGTCTACTGATCCGGGCCGCTTCCGGAGCACCGTCCAGGAGAGGTTGGCTTCACCTCGAACCTGAACAGTCTGTTAATGCAGGGGTTCCCAACTCTGGTCCTTGAGGAACACCATCCTGAACGTTTTAGTTGTTTCTCTGCGCCGACACACCTGATTTTAATTAAAGCTAATTAACAGGCTTCTGCAGAGAATGAAGAAGTAATTAAATCACTGAATCAGGGGCGTTGGAGCAGGGAAACAACAAAAACATGCAGGATGGTGTTCCTCAAGGACCAGAGTTGGGAACCACTGTGTTAAAGTATTGGATCTGAGATGTGTTGGTTTCAAATTGTGTTCTGTGTGACGTCACAGCCTCAGAAGACACATAAATGCCATTAACAGACTGTCAGATGCGGGCATGTTCTTCTGGGATTATGGCAACGCTTTCCTCCTGGAGGCCCAAAGAGCCGGTGAGTAACTCAGCAAAGACGCACGCAGACGTATCAGTGGCATTTATTTTGAATTTTACCAATAAAGAAGAACATGTTAACGGTTTTATACAGGCGCAGAGGTCACCAAGGCTGACGGAGGAACGACAGACTTCCGCTACCCTTCTTATGTTCAGCATATTATGGGGTGAGACTTTTACAACAGGCTTCAACAGCATTTTATGTTTGTCTTCTGGCAAAAATAAATAAATCTGTAAACCTGTAAAGGTGGTGATGCAGTAATAAGCAGCTGTTAGAGATGGATTCTTTTTTGGTCTTTCCTGCAGGGATATTTTCTCATTAGGCTTTGGGCCGTTTCGCTGGGTGTGCACATCTTGTGATCCCAAAGATCTGGCTGTCACTGATGATATTGCTGCTAATGTTCTCGAGGAGATTGCTGCCAACGTGTCAGATCGCATTAAACAGCAGTACAGTGACAACATTCACTGGATCAAAGAGGCTGGAAAACACAAAATGGTCTGAGCTCTCTCAAAGCAAATAATTAAAAAAGGCCATGTCTTATCATTTAATCCATGCACTCGTTGGTTCAGGTTGTGGGATCTCAAGCCAGAATCCTCTATTCTGACCAGAAAGGACGGATCCGCATAGCTTTGGCCATGAACCAGGCTGTCGCTGATGGAAGAGTCTCGGTATGAGGATGAATTCTTTGCTAAGCTTGCTCCATGTTTGCTGCTATCCTCCAGGATGTCATATGCTTTGTTTTCATTAATGTGTTTAGGCGCCAGTGGTTATTAGCCGAGATCACCATGACGTTAGTGGCACAGACAGCCCTTTCAGAGAAACCTCCAATGTGTACGATGGCTCAGCTTTCTGTGCAGGTTTGTTCTTTGTTTGCTAGTTGGATTCTGAATCTGAGGTTTTTAAATGAAAATTATAAGGAGCTCACAGCTCTTACATTCTGGTGGCAATATTTTAAATAAGACAAATATGAAGCGGGGGGGTGAAGGTGTTGGCAGCTTGCTTAAACATGTCACTCGAATAAATTAGAAATAACCACTTCTGTCTCGCGGTGTGCTCTCACTGCAGACATGGCGGTCCAGAACGTTGTTGGCGATGCGTTCAGAGGTGCCACGTGGGTCGCTCTGCACAACGGTGGAGGTGTTGGCTGGTGAGGCAGGCTGACTGATCCTCCTGCAAACAGTAATCTGTGTCCTGCATCTCTGTGTTCATGTCTGATTCTCATCCGCAGGGGCGAGGTCATTAATGGAGGATTTGGTCTGCTGCTGGACGGCTCAGATGAGGCAGCAAAGCGCGCCAGCCTGATGCTCAGCTGGGATGTCTCCAATGGGGTGAGAGAGACAGAAAGAGAGAGAGAGAGCAAAAGAGAGAGAGTGAGAGAGAGAACATGAGAGAGAGCTAGAGAGAAAGCGAGAGAGGGAGTGCAAGAGTGAGAGAGATCAAGAGAAAGAGAGAGAGTGAGAACATGAGAAAGACAGCGCGCAAGTGAGAACGTGGGAGAGAGCAAGAGAGAGCTAGAGAGAAAGCGAGAGAGGGACTGAGAGAGGGAGCGAGATCAAGAGAAAGAGAGAGAGAGTGAGAGTGCGAGAGAGAGAAAGTGTGCGAGAGAGAGCACGCGCGAGAGAGAGAGCGCACGAGAGAGAGAACGAGAGAAAGCGAACAAGTGAGAGAGAGAGAGCAAGAATGAGAGACCGAAGGAGAGAGAGAGCAAGTACGAGAGACCAAAGGAGAGAGAGAGCGAGTGAGAGAGAGCGACCGAGCAAGCGAGCGGGAAGAGAAGCAGCATCCTCGGTCATTATAATCACTGATTTGAGTCGGTGTTGTTCACCAGGTGGCTCGTCGTTGCTGGTCTGGAAACAGAAATGCCTACGAGACCATCCAGCGCACCATGGAGGAGAACAGGCAGCTGCGCGTCACCATGCCCTGTCCAGTGCAGGACGAACGTGTGTTGGACCATGCCCTACAGAGCTAACTACCACTTCAGTTTAGATCAACTACAGATGGATAATTACAGCCACACAGTGGAGAAATGTAGCCGCTGCAGTCACTTCAGTTTATCTAAATGACGCCTCATCCAACAGTTAGAACTACTCTCTGCCCACGATGAGAAATCATCTGCAAAGACGTCAAATACACAGAAACCCTAAGTGGGGCTGGCAACGTGCAAATAAAAATGCTTGTTTACAAATTCACCTACGTTAAGATTAACCTTTGTGATGTGGCATAGAACAACAAATAAACAAGATGGAGGTCTACACTCAACAGGAAGAAGCAGCAAAAAGCAAAGTTCATTTCACAGAAAATATCAACAACGAAGAAATGATTAAAGAAGCGTGTTGGTTTTATTTTAACTTCTGTGACTCATTTCTTGTTTTAATTTCCTCCAAAAAGTTTAACTCTGGTAATCTTTAAAAGTTATTCAGGCTTTCTGATGGTCTCTCATCATCATCATCATCATCATCATAAAGAAGCTTTTCTTTGAACCTTGGCAGCATTTTCCATATTTTCTGTTTGTTTAATGCCCAAACCCCTTTGTCCTATTTAAATTATTTTATGATAACATTTGAAACCTTGTTATTCTTTTGAAGACACACATTGATTGACTCAATGTCACTTCCTATACTTTGTGTTCACATTCATTCATAACACATTCATTCCTAATGGAAAACTAAAGTACCTTTGATCTTTGAGAAGCGTTTCTCAACAAGTTAGTTAAATTGTAAGAACTGTAGATGATCAGCTGAAGGATGATGCATCTCTCAGGTCCTGTGCCAGGTTTCTCTCCATCCCTTATAGACACAACTTTCAGATGTTTATCTGCACAGTCCTTTCATTTCTGTTTCTTTTGTCCACTTTCCTCATCTTGTAACAACCTGCACATTGTGCTGTCATAGATACAAGTACTGGGTTGAAAATGAATAACAACAGCTGCCAAAGTCCAAAGGAAAACGACCACAGAAATCAGAAATTATTTCATTCACACACAAATATATTTTTTTGTCATCATTCATACAGGATTTAGGTGCTATAATGTTTATTTTGTGTGACTGTTAAATAATAAAAACATTATTTGCATGTAAATAGAAATACAATATCTTCTATTCCTTCAAAACAGTATTTTTACACACTAGCTCTATTTTTGGCTTATGCTATTTAGCTTCTAGCTAGACTTTTGCTACTTTTAATTACCCCTTTGTTAGTTTTAGATTCTAATTAGCCTTTTGGTATTTTTAGGTTCTAACTAGCGTTTTAATGTTTTAAGTCACCATTAAGCTTCTAGATAACCTTTGGCTACTTTTAGCTACCCCTTTTCTAGTTTTAGATTCTAGTTAGCATTTTGTTATTTTTAGATTCTAGCTAGCTTTTTTTTAAGGAACTATTTTAGCTTAGGTACCTTTAGCTACTGTACTTTTAGCTCACTTTTTGCTACTCTTAGCTACAGTTTTGGTATTTTTAGCTTGTAGTTAACCTTTTGCTATTTTGCTAACCTTTAGCTTTTCATTAGCGTGTCGGAACTTTTAAGCTTCTTGCAATCATTTGATGAGTTTTACAAGCATGTTGCTCCTTTTAGCTAGCACATTGCTGCTTTGGGCTTTTAGTGAGTGTTCTGCTTGTTTTAGCTTCTTCAGCAAGTTTCAGCACTCATACTTCTTGCTCACAGAAATGGCCATTTCCTGTATTTGAACCCCTCTTCCTGTGCTCGCTCTCTGCCGTGCGTCTTGGCGCGCTCCTGTTCCTTTAAGAGCGCTGGACAGTGAATGAACTTGAGCCCCTCCGCGCTGACGTCATGGGGGTTAGAGAGGTTGGTGTTCCCATCAGAAAGAGAGGGGTAGATACTCATGAGGACAAATTCCTGCTGCCGTTCTCCCTCTTTGTTGTGCTCTACATCCAGTCCTGAGTTCTGAACTTGTCCTTGGGAACAGAACCGAACCTCCGCCCTCTTTCCTGAGCGCACAGCAGCCTTGTTCCAGACAGAGCGCCTTATTTTTCTTAAAGAGAGGACCAATTTGTCAAAAACTCCTCCGGATGGATCAGAATGACGCCGGATGAATTCTGTTCAAGACTTTTCTTCTTCACGTGCAGCTTGTTTCTTCTTTCAGAGTAAAATGCATCAGAATGAGGAGGAAGGCTCCGGGAATCCATCCAGCGCGCAGGAGGACGCGACAGCGCGCCTCTGTGACTCCTCCAGCAGCACTTTGGGCCTCCAGCCACCTGCTTACTGCAAACTGGAGTTCAGGAGACACGCAGTCACAGATGACTATAAAATAACAGCCCAGGTTCTTGGTCTGGGCATTAATGGCAAAGTGCTGGAGTGTTACTGCAAGCGGACGGGAGAGAAGTGTGCCCTGAAGGTGCGTCAGTCCACCAGTTACTGTTCCCTGTAGGTGTGTCTGGAAAACACAGAGCATCAATTATTCATGTGTCTTCAGTCTGTGTATTTAATGGCTCCTGATGTCAGTTTGTTTGTTTGATTGATTCAATCTGAAAGTAAATCTGTTCACACACTGATGCTGTCTGGAGTCTTCAGACTCAGTGACGTGCTCCGGAACAATATTACATAATGTGACTCAGCCCTTTGCCAAAACTGTTATTTATTCGCCCATCTTCTTAAAAACAAGTGTGTGCTGTAAGATATATACAACTCTGCTAAGGCTGTAAGAAAAAAAATAAAATAAAATATATATATATATATATATATATATATATATATATAAAGAAAAAGAGAAAGAAAAAAAAAACAGGAAGAGGAGTTCCATGAATGCTTGCACGTTTTCTTTGGAAAGTCTTTTTCAGGCCGTGGCCAAGCAGCATGAAGAAATGTTTTCCAGTCACAATTTTCTTGGAAACCAGCCTTGATTGAAGGGAATTGGTGTTATGTCATTATAGGGTTTTCCCAAAAAGCATCACCTTTCTAGCACTCATGTTGAAGTCAGATTCCTCCTTCAGGATTCAGATTTGGTTGCTTGCACATGAAATAGCTCAGAGTGGAAGTAGATCAGTTGCAACACTAAAGATCTCACATTACAGAATTATGCACTTATTGTCAGTTTAATGTTTTACTCTTTTATATAAACTAACAATAAATTTATCTTCTTTCCCTAAAGCTCTCCATATGGACAAATATAAAACAGAAGCGACCCATTAAAAACCTCTTGTTGCTTCCATTCTAGATTCTGTATGACACCCCTAAAGCCCGACGGGAGACTGAGCTGCACTGGCGAGCATCCGGAGGCCCCCACATTGTACGAGTACTCAGCCTGTATGAAAACATGCACCACGGGAAGAAATGTCTGCTGATTGTGATGGAGTGGTGAGAATGATCCTACTTATGTTTGTTCAGTGCAACCCCTGATGGTGATTCTTTTTAATGGTCACTCTAAACAGCTTGTGAAGTGAAGCAACCCCCCGAAAGAAAAAGACTAGATGTGTCAGAAGAATTCAAACACTTGGTGCAGAAGCAAAACTTGAGTATTAACTACGTAAACTGTAATAGGTGAATGAACTGGAGGTTTTCCACACTGGTATTAGGGTGGAGGAGGGGCTGGTAGAGAGGTTGTTTTCCCACCAGGGGTTGGGGTGGGGGCAGGTAACCTTGATGTGGACTTTAGCTCAATATCTGGGAAAAAAAGGCAGCATTAGAGGTATTTTTGTGTTTACTAAGACTGATTAGCCGTGGAAGCTATCTTGCATCAGGTTGTCAGTTGTAGATGTAGGCAATAATTACTTTTGAGATTTTCATTAAAATCCATCCACATGGCTCAAGAGATATTTTGTTAATTGACAGCCAAACAGCCCTGTATGTACATGTGTACACACATGTAAAAAAAAAAACATTATCACCCACTGCTGAAGGATGAACAAACAGGTGATTAGGCCTGTCACGATAACAAATTTTGCTGGGCGATTAATTGTCTCAGAAATTATTGCGATAAACGATAATATTGTTTGAAATTTGATGTTAATTAGTAATTGTCAAATTTAAGAAGAAATGTTGTTAAATTTTTGTATGTAGTACCTTTTTTGACCAACGGATGGCAGAACAGGACTGTTTGAACCGAAGGATGGATAGTGAGGGAGCGAGCAGCGTGTCTCTTTAAGAAAAATAGGAGGGAGGTCCCTTGTGACATGGGCTGTCTCTTGTTCGTGTTTTTCGGTTCTCAAAATGGCGGACGTTCGGTGCGGTTTGAGCCTTTATACCATTTTTCCACACAAAGCTTTTAATTAAAAAAAAGTCAGTAAACAAGTTCTCAGCTTCTTTTTGTAGAGAAAAACAACTTTTTAGACAAAGGCACATGTTTCAACCATGAATTTCAGAGCTTTGACAAGACAGAGGTTTTTTCCCCGAGGTCAGCCTATTTTAGCTTAGTTCGTAGCTTAGCTTCTCAGTGTTACAGCGGGTGCTGTGGAGGCCCCCCCCCCCCCCCCCGAGCTGCTGCAGCTAGCTTTAGCTTTTTTTTAACAATCCAAAAATGTGATTTTGGGCAGTTAAAACAGATTTTAAAGAGAAAGAGAGGGATCATTGAAGAGCACCGGAGTTGAGCCTTTTGTCATCCAGTGTCTTCAGTAGAAAGAGAGACACGAAGAAACGATAAAGCTGATAATTGAAAATGAGGTCGATAATTGTAATTTATCATGCGATTAATTGATTTAATGTTTATTGTGACAGGCGTACAGGTGATAATAGCTGGAAAAATGAGCATTTTCTGTGAAAATGCAGCAGGAATACTCAGGGCTCAATGACAGCCGTAATTTAGGGGAAAAGCTGAAACTGAATAAATAAATAAACAAATGAATAAATAAATAAAAACAGAAGCTAATCTTAACAAAATAGTATCTAAAAACTATACTTAGCAAAACTACAACTAAAAGCACATTTTAGAAAAACTATGGCTAAAAGCTGAAATTAGCAAAGCTATAGCTAAAAGAAAAAAATCATAATGCTCTAACTAAAAGCAGAAATTGGTAAAGCATTAGCTTAAAACTAAAGTTAGCTAGACCACAAATAAAAGCTAAACTTTGCCAAAATGTTGCTAAAAGCAAAGATTTGCAGTTTTGAACCCAATACTTAAATTGACCATATGTAAAAGCAAATAAAATCAAAAGCAAAAAAGTTAGCAAAACCAGAGCTAAAAGATAGAATTAGCAAATCTCTAGCTAAACAAAACCATAGCTAAAATCTTAAAGTAGCAAAACCGTAGATGAAAGCAAAAATTAGCAAAATAGTAGCTAAAAGCTAAATAGAGCAATAAGACACAAATAGAGCAGGTATGCTGAAATAGATTTAAAAAATAAAATATTTTGAAGGAACTGAAAATATCTGTGTATTTCTCCTGGGAAAACTTTTGTAAATAAAATAAAATGTAAAAAAAAAAAGGAAATCTTACGCAAAAAAAGTCATAGCACATTATTTCTGCTTGAACTGCACATTTTCACTCAGCATTCACAGACAGAGGTAATGTATACGTTGAAGATTTAGACAAAGGTATGAAGGTAAATATAAAATAATTACTTGACAACATCAGTTTATTACTTTCCATCTCGACTTTCATATTTGTGTACTTGTTTTTCGCCTGCTTTTGTCTGAACTTGTTTAAACAGTACAGTTTGAGGCACAATGGCTTGATTTGTTCTAAAAACACGGCTGCTGTAGAAAACCGCAGTCATTTGACTCAAGTGTCCTCAGTGCCCGGGTTCTGATCTCTGTCTCAGCATGGAGGGAGGGGAGCTGTTCAGCCGCATCCAGGCCCGAGGGGACCAGGCCTTCACAGAGCGAGGTGAGTCGGAGTATTCGTTTAGTCCTTACAGCCGTCTCTGCCTTCTTAATAACTTCACATTGGCCCATCAGAGGTGTCAGAGATCATGCATGACATCGGCACAGCCATAGAGTACCTCCATAATGTGGACATCGCTCACAGAGACGTGAAGGTACATCACACTCAGAATAAATATATGCAAAGGTTTCTGCTTATACATTTATTTTGATTATTCCGTATTCGTGTTTCAGCCTGAAAACCTGCTCTACAAAACCAAGGACAGCAACGCCACTTTAAAGCTGACAGACTTTGGCTTTGCAAAGGAGACAGTAGCACACAATTCCCTCCAAACCCCCTGCTACACTCCATATTATGTTGGTGAGAGTTTCCTGAAATCACTTTCGTTGTTTTGCATTTTTATCAGCAATGTAAATGTGAAATTGCAATCCCGGTTTCCTCTTTTTTAGCACTGAGCTGCTGTGATTTACTTCTATGTAGTTTTAATTTTTGTGTGCCTTTTTATGTTGTCGTGTTGTGTTTTTTTCTGCATTTGTTTCTCCTGCAGCACCAGAAGTGCTCGGGCCAGAGAAATACGACAAGTCATGTGACATGTGGTCTCTGGGGGTTATCATGTACATTTTGTGAGTATCATGTCTGTAACTCATTCAGCTTCATTAAATATGTATAGCTGAGGATCAATTATTAAAGGGTGCTGTATTGTCTTGCTTTTTCTTTTCTTTCTTTTAATGTTCTGTTTCCCAGACTCTGTGGGTTTCCTCCTTTCTATTCAAACACGGGTCAGGCCATCTCTCCAGGTATGAAGCAGAGGATCAGACTGGGCCAGTATGAGTTTCCCAACCCCGAGTGGGTCGACGTTTCAGAGGAAGGTCAGGTTTGTTGTTATTAAATTTACTTCAAATGGCAACACAGTTTGTAAAAATGAGTAAAGCATTAATTTTATTCAAATTCATGAAATGTCTGGAAGGGAAAAAAGCCCTAAAAACTTTCAAAATTGATTCGACTGTGTTTTTAAAGTGGGGTTTTGTGGGAGATATGTGAGAAAAAATATCTTACCTGTTGTAGATAGCCCTTTGAATGATCTCAGTTTGGAAGCCAACAGCTCAGCTGTTCATTACATGATTATTTCAGCAGAAACATTATATGTCTGCAGATTGTGCCCCAATTTGTATTGGAAGTGCTACAGCTAGCTGCTGCTGCTATATGCACTTACAAAAAAACTCCACAAAAGTCTATATAAACAAACGTAATGCAAAACCGACGGCTGTCCACAGATTTATTAAATAATGCTCACATGAGCTGCTATAACGTTTTTAAGATTGAAGGTTTTTTTTTTTAACAGCACAAATTCATGTCGGTATCGGTAGCACTCGGACTAGCTCTAAGGTATCCACGGTACCCCACGTCTAAAGATCTGAACTATTGCTTTAATACAGTCATATGGTTTAAACTAGAAGTGACTGACTGTTTACCTCAGTAAAAACTCCCTGGATAAAATGATCCAAATAACATTTGCTAGTAGCCTATATCTGTTTTTGGACAGATTATGGCTTTAAGCCTCAGTTAGTCTAGTATGTGCTTATTAAAGGTGACTAATTTAGAGCTTTGAAAGTATACAGCCTCAAAATAAAGAAAATAAAGTTTTGTACTTTAGTCATTTCAGACATGTTGGGTTGTTTACTTTTGATTTATTCTCTTCAGCCAAACAGCTTATCGTTCAGTTACTGAAGACAGACCCCAGTGAGAGGATGACCATCAGACAGTTTATGAACCATCCTTGGATTAGTGTAAGTTAGCACCTTCTCTGTCTCGTGTCTGACAACTTGTGCTGTCGTTCTCTCTGTAATCATGGAGGTTTATGCTTTAATCCAACAGCAGTCGATGGTGGTCCCTCCAACACCTCTGCACACCTCTCGTGTTCTGACAGAAGACATGGAGCTGTGGGACGACGTAAAGGTAAGACTCAGATCTGCATCAGTTGGTTCTTGGTCAGGATGTGGCCACAAGGTGGCAGAAAAAAAACTCTTCAGCTTCATGGCAACAAACCGTTCCAACAGGAGGAAATGACCAGTGCTCTGGCCACCATGCGAGTGGACTACGACCAGGTGAAGATCAAGGACCTGGACACGTCCAACAACCCTCTGCTGAACAAGAGACGCAAGAGGCCGAAAGATGCTGAGAGAGGAGAGGGGGGTGGAAGTGTGGAGGGAGACTGTCAAAGAGAAGCGGAACTTTCTGAAGAACACGGGGGAAATGATTTCAGCACAAATCTAGAGTCAAAGTAAGCACCGTGAGGAATGTTTGTGTCCATCCACACGCAACTTATTCTACTGTATGCATTTTTTTTTGTGTCCACACACAGCAATCCAAAGATTCACATTTATATTTCGAGAGTCACCGCTTTTACCAATTAAAATACTTTTTTAATTCAGTTACTTGTGTCACTTTTTAATCAAACTCATATTTTTATGTCAAACTTGGAGGTTTTGATGCAGCAAGAGAACAGGGAGTAAAATAATAAATTCAAAAAGCATAAAAAAAAAACGTTTTCTTGGTCATTTGCAGTCATGAGTTAGTTCTGAGCTCAATGGTGCTCGTTCTTTAAATTCTTCAGTGACTCACTTTTTTGAAAAAAAATTGTAAGGATTTTTTTTTTTTAGTGTATGTACATTGCCATACATGATTTACCGTATTTTATAATATAATATAATATAAAGCGCACCGGATTATAAGGAGCATTCAGTGAAACAAGTTCATTTTGACAGATTTTCAGCGCCGTGCACCACATAAAATCGGTTTGAGGTCAGCACAACCAGAATTAATACATAAAGCGCACCGGATTGTAAGGCTCACTGTTGATTTTTGAGAAAACTGAAGGACTTTAAGTGCACCTTACAGTCCGAAAAATATGGTAATATGTTTATGTGAATAAAGATCTTTTTTTAATCTGCATCAGCGTTAGGAATAGTCTAGAAAAAGACAACAAAGTCCATGCTCAACAAAGTCAAGAAAAAGACATGTTGCAGCTCAGACTGGATTTGCTGCGCAGGAGTGGCTCACCTGTTCTAAACAGAGCTAGTCATGTTCAAGGTTTAACCTCATTTAATATTTGAGCCCAGAGGCTTACATGCACTCATCATGGACATGAATGTCATATTAAATTATTAGAATAATTCATTTCAATCATTATTTTTCCAGTGTGAAGTGATAATATAATTTACAACTCTAATGACTTTTTTAAAACAAGAATTGGGGGCACAAGTTCCATTTATTGTAGGATGTCTAATTTACACATTAAATATTTCAAGGTAGTATATATATATATATATATATAATATATATATATATATATATTGCACATAATTAGCATATACTACGCAGGTTGTGTGACAGGTTATTGCACATGTAGTGACACTGAGATTGAATTATGATGGTAAGGTAGATAGCTACTGTATCATACATGATATAGCCTAGCATCAGCCCACACAGTGCAGCAGCAATAAATAACAAACATATATATATATATATTATCAAATCCTGGCCCAGGACCTTTCTTGGTAGAGTTTGCATATTTTCTCCGTGCGTGCGTGGGTTTTCTCCTAGTACTCTGGTTTCCTCTCACAGACCAAAAACATGCATGTTAGGCAGATTGGTAACTCTAAATTGTCTCTAGGTGTGAGTGAGAGAGAGTGAATGGCTGTTTGTCTCGTTTGTCTCTGCGTGTCCCTGTGATGGACTGGAGACCTGTCCAGGGTGTCTCCTGCCTCTCACACAGTGACTGCTGGGTACCAGTGACCCCCACAACCCAGAAAGGAAGAAGTGGGTAAAGATGGATGGATCCATTTATGAAACATTTTATAGCACATATTGACATGTAGAACAAATCATTACACAACATTTGTAAAGAGCTAAAAAGATGCACAAACTTGAAGTTACACAAAAGAAGAGCCTGACTGCTGAAGGCTCAGCTTCCATTTCTATTTTTAGACACTCTGGGGACAACGAGCCTGCACTCTGAGAGATAACTGTCCTGTTAGGGAAATGATGGACTGCTTCGTCTCGAAGATCTTAAGCATCAACTCTGGATTCAGGAGATAATAATTAAAAAACTAATAGTGAAGAAAGTTGGTTTCTCTTCTGATTCATTTTGAATCTGATAAATATTTATTTTTAACAATTGGGACATCCATGATACTTAAAGCTGAGAAGTCACTAAAGCACAGACATGCTTTACTCAGACAGTATGTCTGCACTGTGACTTTTCATTTATTTTTTTGACGGTAACATCCAAAACTCATTTGCTTAGTGAGACGCTACACTGCTCATATAGTGTCCATAAATTTGCATGAGCAGCGTTGCACTAGAAATGCTCACATTCAAGCCTCAGATCAGAGAGGATGCAGTGGACACGATCTAAAGAGGCAAGAACGAGTTTGGGGAAGCTGAAGGCGGCAGAAGCTCAAACGATGGCGCTCGGTCCTTTCGGTTGCATCATGAGTGATCTCCTGACTATCCGAGAGAAAAACATCCTGACCAATCTGCTGGAGCCTCAGTGTAAGGTCAGTTCACACTTTTACTGTTTGTAAAATGTAATTTAGATCATTTATGTTGGATTTATTCTAAACACTTTCACGCCAGAAGAAAAATCCTGCTTGTTGCTGCTTTTTTATGATTAAAGACATTTTGACATTTGAGTTTGTTTTCACGTTATCTTCTGCAGCAGTCAGGAGGCCTGGTGGATGAATGAGCTTTTTGTGAAGGCTTTTACAGTTTATAGCTCCCCAGGAAGCTGGTGTTTGTTTAGCCCGGCACAACCATTTTACCAGGCCATAAAACTGCGCAGTAATCATCTGCTTTGATCAAACCATTTTTGCAGGGTACAAATATAACAAAAAGTCAGGTATAAAGCAAATGCATATATTGAAAAGGATTTGTAAAGAGCACCATAGTTGTTCACTAAAGACATACTGAAGTGGCATTTTAGATTTTATGACACAAAATGGAAATTACATCACAAACTTTTAAACCTATTTTGTCAAATAATCATTTTATTAGTGTCAATTTCACACGCACAAATGATAAATGATGGTTTAATGAGAAACAAACACAAAGACAGGTCTGACCGAGAGCTTAGATCATCATGTTTCCTCCATCCAACAAACAGCTCATATAGTGATCGAAATGGTTGAAATTTTGATTTAGTTTAATTTACAACCACGTCCTAGGCCTCTGAACACAATCTAACCTGTCAGAGCATCACACAACAGTGAATAAGATTATCTTACTTTTAGTATGTTCAAATCATAATTTGAAAAGTAAGTAAAGTTTGCCTGATCAAAGTGGGAAAATGGAAAGTACAATATTTTACATCGTAATGCTGTGAAGTAAATCTCTTGATAAGAAAAAGAGAAAACGATTAGAGCAATGTGTGTTGAACTGCTGGTGTGTTTGGTTTGTTTAGTATGTCATCTGCATAAATTAAACCCAACTAATAATCAGGAGATAATTTCATTAAAATAGCCTGTCAGGACGAGGTGTGTGAAACAAGGTTAACTTTAACCACTGCGGTGAAATGTCTTTAATGATATCTCAAGATAACACGTCAATTGCTTCATTATCTCATTGTTTACAAAACTTGTTTTTATTCTGATAATTATCTTATCCTGAGCAAAAGCTTATTTAAAAGTTAGAAGTAGTTAATATCTTACCTGTCATAGATAGCTCCTTGAATGACCTCAGTTTATTATGACCTCAGATGAACTGATGGTTCAGAGCAAAACCTGAACCAATTGTTGCCATCTTGACAACTTCAGACTAAAAATTTTATACAGGTTCATACGAAGCGTATGTTACAAACGTTTATATTGCAGCCAATATTACTTAACATTTATAATTACAGTAGTCCCTTGTTTATCGCGGGGGATCCATACCCTGAAGCACCGCGATAAGAGAAAAACTGCAAAGTAGGAATTAGAGTTGCATTCGGGTCCAAATAATCCAAACCGACCCAGCCCGCAGCCATCATTTCTGAACTCCACCTGATCCAACGAATTAACAGTAATTACAGGTCAGAACCCGGAACATCCCCGACATTTTAAATTAAGCTTTGACTGCTTATACCACTGACAATTATTAATGGTTGGCGGATGCACATGGCTGAGGGGGCAGAAGATCAGAGCTGAAGAGCTCTCAAAGCGCATTAAATGCTTCTCCTGCTTCTGCCTGCATTCTGCTCTGACATGTCGGATATTTTGTGATCTCACCTGTTTGGGTCTCAGCCGCATGCGTCCGCTGAATGCAGTGGCTGAATGAACGTCCATTTGGGCGATGGATCGCTGGCAGTAGTCCATCTGAAGCTTAAGTGAACTTTTTACCTCTTTCAACCAGCCAGTCAGCACGCAGTCAAATGGTCACGTGCAGCAGGTGCAGTTGGGCAAGCCATGTTTGCATATATTCGATCGTTGGCTGCATGCGATCCTGATGCAATGAAAAGCTCAACACCGACCTGGCCCACACATTAAGCACATTGTTATGGCCTGGCCCATTCTGAATCTGGGTCGGGCGGGGCCGGGCTCTGGGTTCGGGTTAGAAATGGCAGCTCTAGTAGGAATAGTAGTACAAGTAGTAAGTAGTAGTCTAGTTTAATATATAAAAGCGTTTTAAACCCTTCCCACACTCTTGCAATACTCTAAACAATGTTTCTAAACTCTAAATGCTCTAAAAGAGCACAGAATGTCATGAAGTCAGCTCTCTGCCACGCCCACTTCTCCGCTGCAGGGCGGAGATATGACACGCTGCAGGAAGACGCTTCTCCTGCAGTGTGGGCTGCACACAGGTGCAGCAGGTGCTAATTTAAAGTAATTTATTTTAAATAAAAAGTCCATGCCGATCGTGCGGCTCATCCATCAATCAGTCAATTGTGTGTCATGTTCAATCTTATTTTGTAAAACTGTGATAAAGCGAGTCTACGAAAAACGAACCGCGAAGTAGCGAGGGACCACTGTATATAGAATTCATTGTATTTTTCCAGGGTCCAAATAGCAGTGCAGACACTTTCTGGAAGAACATAATATTTCCACTGGAGTGGCCATGAAATATGAAACTGACTGTGATGTAATTAACCTTTATTTAAAAAACAAACAAACTATATTTGTGACTCGTGTTAGAAGTTTAGTGTTATTAATATTAGTACTTTATTTCAGCATTTGTCAAAAACAAACAAGAAAAACAAATGTGCACCAGTACTTAAGGAGTTATTTGAATGTAATTTAATCCTAATCATTTTATTTGATTGCTGCTCTACTTTAGTTGATCAAAACAACTGTAGCACAGATACTCCAGTCCAAAGGGACAGAGGGTGAGAG